AACTCGCAGGATTATCGTCAAGAATTTGTAAGTTCATGAATGTAATTTAATTATTTAATTTATTGCAGTTATGGAATTAATAAGTATTATGTTAGTGGTTAATTTGAATTTATTAATATTCGAGAAGCTAAAAACATGAAGTAACTAAGACAATATTTTCTGTTTATGAATTGTGAATACGAAAACTTTATACATGTATACATGTATATGGCTGAAAATAACTTCAAAACCTTGCATTTGTAAAAACCAATCGATAATATTAGAATTCAAATCCAGAATTAACTTTTCTATGCAGTTTTATAAATGGTAAATGTTAATAAGTGRAACTGTGTGTATTATCACAAGATTTATTTTTTACTCTATTTTAAATTAAACAAAATTGTAATGCTAATTTATATAAAATGATAAAATGAAATAAAAATGAGATTTCTAAACTGATTTTTAGCTGATTAATTTTTGTAYTGAATATTAATAATAAATAAATATTTACGCAGGTAAGGTTTATTAATCAGATTGGAGGAGCAAATGGTAAAGATTACACGGAGAGAGTACTTAATGCTATATTCTCGCAATCATTTGCTACTGATAATACTTGGGAAGGCAAGGTGACAAAGTTTAAAATCAATAAGTTGAACTTAATTACTATTTGCGAAGGTTAGAAAGATTGAATGCATAAATAAAATTAACACTTGACTGAAAACAAATATTTATGTTAATACAATGAAAAATTATTTTCCAGAGATAATATTGAAGAAATTTAGTTATTGGGACAGTGTTGAATTTGCTAAAGCTGGAATTAATTGGTTTCGATTAGGAAATCAGAGAGCAGGTAAACAACCAAAACAAGTTGAAAAGAAACCTAAGCCACCAAACAATAGCAATACAAAACAAGAAGAGTACTGACGAATTTCTTGAGTAAGTGAATTCAAGTGAATTCACTCAATATTTTATTAATGTAAGATTTATACTATACAATCCAATATATAGTATACAATCCAACAAGTGAAAATAATATTTTACTCAGTATTAGTATGACTGATTGAAAAATCCTATATTTAAACTTATAATTGTTAAAATTTTCACTTTTTGGATTGTGATGATTACTCTAAAGAACAAAAAATATTATTTATTTTTTCTTATAAAAATAATTAATGACTTCATTTAAAAATGTGTGCAATACTTTATCAATATAAAGTTTTCTTATCTATCTTCAATCCAAAAAGTGAAAATAATAATTTACTTAGTAATGGTACAACTAATTTAAGAATATATGTTTATACTTTTTATTGCTAATATTTTCACTTTTTGGTTTGTAAAGATTACAGTAAGAAAACAAGAATATTAATTTTGTTTAAATATAATGGAAATATGAATGAGTAAAATTTTCAACTCTAGAATTTCGAATAATATTGGTTAATTTTAGTAAATTTGAAACAGTAACTACTCTGAATAATAAGAAATAATTTGAAATCCAGTAGTAGTTCACTTTAATTTAAATAAGTTAATGTGATCTTATGTTTAATAAAATAATTGTAGCAAGTCGTTTTTACGAAAT